CTCCAAGCAAGAGTTCCCTCTGAAGCAATTTGGTAACACTACCCTGGTATTAGCAAGCTGCCCCTGTCCATTGCCAAGAGGCTGTGGTTCACTGGTGGATATTAAAAGAATTTAAGAGTAGAAACCACCTCTAGAAACTTGCTATCAAGGGAATGGAGTTCATTTTCTTAAGGAAACTAAAGAAAAATACACAAGGCTTCCAATTTGAGAATTTCAAAAACCAAAATTTTCTGGGGAAACTGAGAAAATCAAGCTTTGAGAGGTCACTACATCCCTACTTAGGGTGGGGACATAATTTCTTAAAATATTGGGTGGAGCAACACAGACTTCAAGGAAAATAAGCTGCCTTAACTATGGGAATTGTCATCCTTAGATAAAATTTCCTTCAAATATGTTCACGATTCATCAGCAGAACATTCTGGAAGATTTCTGGGTATATATGTATGTTATCTGAAATCCTATCAACACTCTAAATGCACACATAATTCACACCCTCGGATCCTCCATCCACATTTATGATCCATCAAAACCATTGTGAGTTTTACTTACACCAACAAAATCCCATTGTTTGAAGATTATTTCGGATTAAACATATAAATACATATAAGTGTCTATGCCTAGAACGTCTTCCTCTAATGTTGGGAAAGAAAGAGACTAGTTATGGTACATCGTGGATAAGTGTGATGGCAGAAAATTATGCATCTATAAAACCAAAAAGTTAAATCAAGTAAGTGGCAAGAGATCTAGAAATAAGATAAAATATTAGCTATGAAGAATAATGGAGAAAATATAGTGAAACAATATAAATTTAGTTTTGGAGACTCGAGTGGCGTTGCAACAGAGCTCTGGAAAAAGCAATGCCACCAAGAGTAATCCCTGTGATGTCTAAATCATCAGCAGCTATTGCAGTTCAGAAAGGGTTAATACTTGGGCCTTTTTTTCCTGAATCTCTGTTAACACTTGGGCCCTTTTTTTTTTTTTAATCTCTGTAGCTATCATTCCAGCCTAAAGCTAAAGAACAAAGCTCACTGGCTTTTACTTCCAGTCCTCCCACATTCCACTCTGTCCCTTCCTGTGCATTTTGCTCAGTTAAGCAGCCCACCCGCAGCCTCTTCCCTCTTTGATTTTGCCAGGGCCTTTTTCCCACCATCCTTGAAACAATTACCCTAGTGGTAGCTCAACTCTGTATCCTAAGACAGCAGCCAGTCTTGAGCCTTGTAAGTGAATATGCCAGGCATCTGTCAAAACTCTCCAGTGAGGTCAAATTAGTGGGTGAGGATAGGGGGAGGTCTCTTTGAATGGTTAATACCATGGTCGCTGTAGGACACAAGAGTTCTTTTGAGTTGGAGTTTAATGAGCCTCCACTTCAGTAAGACCTATGTGTACCAAAAGATAAAGGCAAGGATAGAAAGGCACCATTTGTCTCGGCTGGCTGCCTACTGCGTAGGCAGAAGATTGGTGGCAAAACCTGGATCATAGTGACTCACCAAAAACAGGTCTGCTCTTTAGTTAGAGTGCTATCCCCTTCCTAGTAAGATACCTCCCTCCATGTCAGTACAGCAGAGTCCATGAGATAATCTGTGTTGAACTTCGAAGAGGAAGTTGTGATTGCAGGAGAATATTCTCCATAAGCCAGAGGCACCATTTCTGTGTAGAGCTTAGAACATAGTGAATGTAGTATATCATGGGCAAGAGACTTAATGGGATTAGAAAGATGGAGTGAATTTCAGGAAAAGTATCTAAATGACGACTTTGTTGAGAAAGACATAAATGAAAACAAGATTCCTCAAACCATTAAAGTAGTCATAATCTTTCCCTGACCATCTTTTATTTTATTGAGATATAACTGACATATAACATTATATTAGTTTCAAATGTAAAATATAATGACTCGATATCTGTATTGATCTCCCCATCTTGATACGGTGCAAAATAGTTACCTGAGTGACCTTGCACTTAGTAAGCTAACAAAATACACCCTAGACAAAAGGTTTAATTTGGGTAAGTTTCCCTATTTCTCATTTGCTAAGTAGACTAGAAAGGTTTTCTTTGGAAGAACTTCTAAGGAAATTTGTGGTGCCATTTGTAAGCCGTAATTAAATTATTTGTTTATACGAGACGCAGGCAGTCATCTGACATATTCCTCTGCCTTCAAACATTAACTTATTGACCTATTTTCAACAGATAGAGAAGGATACTTTTTTTTTTTAATTCATGAATGCCCTTTTTGCTTTAAAATTTTTCACCAATTTTGTAAAGGAATCACAAGAAAGACTCCTTCCTAAATTAGTTCCAGAGCTACCTATATACCTTAAATACCTTCCTAATGTTCCATAATTTAAAAATTACCCCAAGAAGAACAAGGCATAATGGGGGTTGTGTCACAGCAGAAAAGCAAAACTTCAATTATCAATTCTTGTATTTGAGGGTAAGAGAAAGGGATGTTTTCCTTTGCATATTATAGAGTATATAGGATAAATATCACCCAGGAGTAAATCCTGCTCTGATAGGCTGCCAGAACAAAAATAAAGATAAGAATCAGTGGATTTTCCCTGAGATATGATTTCAAGCCTCTCTATGTGCTAGAGGTGATCTGACTTGAGAGCATAAAGATATTACATGGCCTCTGCCTCTGGATTCTGCTAGATAGGAGGTTCCCAGCCTACTCTCCCCATCAAATGTTCCACCTCTTTCAGCAACATCAATTCAGAATTTCCCAACAACTAGGCTCCATGACAATGTACAAGTTGGATGAGGACTAAAAAAGTTAACAATAATTGATGACTTCATTTGAGATATCTGTCCAGTAGATGCCATCATCCAATCTTCACCCAATATTAACTTCTTCTTTAAATTATAAATTATAAATCTACATACTTGGGGGTAGGGCCCTGGAAAAAGACTAAAATCTCTGGAAGAAATGCCCAGAAAAGCCTCAAAAGTCTGAAACCAGATATATAGTTCAGTCAACTATGTCAGTGACGGATGCCCAGACTAACATTCTCTCCATACATGTATATTATTTTCATGATTAATAAATAACCAATTACTACTGAGCCTTCAGTCATTGCAAACCAGAATGGTTACAGAGTCTTTGTCCCCATTTATCTCCAACTAGATGGGCCCCCTTCCCAGAGAGCCCATGGGGCTGTTGTGTACACCCCAATCTCAGCACAATCTGAATAAGTTTCTCATAGTCTGTCGAAAAAGAAGGGCCTAATGGGTGAAGCGATCTTTTTTAAATTGAAAGATGCAGAGGTTACTAAATCTAAACAAGTGCCCACATTTTCTTTTTGGGAGTGTAACCAAAGGATGATTCAGACAGAGAGACAGGCAGCAAGGTCTAGGAAATGAAAAATCATGAGATTACAGTTTTATTCTTGACTCTATCCAAGACTTGCCATGTGACCACCAGCAAGCTACATCTTCTCAGCAGGTCTATCAGTTTTCCCCTCTCTAAAAAATGTAGTCAGCCTCATCCTGTAATTTACTCTGTAATTTCCTCACAAAAAGGGGAAGGAAGGGAGTATATGAGGTATAGCAAAAGGCTAAAGGGTGTGCTAAGCTCCTTAGGCCTGGACATCATGAATATACAAGTATTCTTCATTTTCAGTAAAGCAACTTAGCAGTATTTCTGATGTAGACAACTCATGAAACAGGACATTAGCCTGATTTTATACAACCTGAAGTTTAACCATTAAGCAATTAGGGTTAAAAGACACCATAGATTAGATGGTATTACCTACTGGAAAAGTATAAACCCACAACCCAGCTCCAAAAAAGTATTTTAATACCCCCAAAAAGGAAGCAAAAGATATCTGTAAGTCAAGAGATCTGTGGGATGTAGAACCATTCTTACTGAGGGAAAATAAGCCAGGGAATGCATGAAGGTAGGAAAGATACTTCACGTACAATAGCCACAATTCTGAGGGTTTAGTCACTAAAGAATTTTTTTTTGTCTCAAGTTTATAAAGCTTTCAACTTGTTATAATGGAGGCTACTTTTTCTCTTAATTCAAATTTTAGAATAGATAAGTCAGTGAGATGTGAAATTTTCTTTACCAATTTATACTTTAGCACCAATTTTTGCTGGAACACACCCATTCCTTGAAGTGCAAAACATCTAAGAGTTAGTAGTACTCCAATACAATAACAACTGACATGAAAGATTAATTAATGACAAGCCAGCAACAAATCTCCCTCTATTTCACATAAATGCAGTTTAGTGTTGCAATCGAGTAACATCTACATTGAGATTAATCATATGCTTAGTAGTTTGGGGTCCTCTGCATTTATCAAAGGAAGGCTCCATCTTCAGACAGAAATAACTGATGACTTCTCCCCACCACATATCTACGTTCCAAAACCAAGCCAGTAAGAGCCAGGACATAGCTCCTGGCCTTCCATAAACTAAATTGTCCCTGGGTTCTATCCCATTCCAGATCCCTCAGATTGCTTCTATCCTAAAACCCATCTGCTAAATAAGTCCAATGACAAGAGGCAGAGCCGTCAAGATTCATTTTTTTTACCTGAGGAGACCAAGTTTGCACTGAGCATGTGGAGACAGGGATCATTCTGATTTCAAGATCCTTGGGGTACTTTAAATTATCTGAAATCATTTTCTAGCCCTTCCAAAATAAAGCTTTAAAGCCCTGGTAGGGCAGGAATTTAAAATATGCATATATGTCATAGGCTTAAGGCAGGGCTAGGCTCATAGTAAGAACTTGGGAGGGTTGTTAGCTTTTTATGAGAATGAACAAATGGAAATTGCTCCTTGACCTTGGTGATATTCTATTCTGGAGCAAAAAGAAGGAAATTGCAGAGAAAAGAAATCAGAGTCCACTCACATCAGCACAGCTGTAACTAGAAGTAGCAGATGGTACCTTCTTGTTGGGATGTAGTGCAGCTGCCAATTCACCAAAATGAGGAGCCCCCAGGGCCCTAGATTTCCCAGATCTTCCAACCTCAGGCTTGTATGCTACCTGAGGAAACTACACATACCTCTTCCTCTAGCTTTACCACCTTGGCCTGGGCGTTGCTCAGGGCCTGGTCTCGGATTTCGATGTGTCGTCTTTGGTCCTCATTGGTAGAACGGGCAGTGGCCAGCTCCGCTTCCAGCTTCTCCTTCTCCCTCTGGCTTTCCTTATCTATCAGGACATGAAATACCAATACTGCCATTCTGGAGCTGGCTTAAAACCTAACATGAAGAAAACTGATAATCATACCCATTACTAAACATTCTAGTGTTCTAACACACAGCTAAATGAACCAGGAAACCAAGATCTGGACTCTATCACTGGCTCTACCACTAGCTGTGTAAATCAAGAACAGTCACTTAATGGTTGTACAGAAGCAATGAGAAAGAGGAGATATAAAAACCGTTATGAAAAGTATTACACACACACACACATATCAGAAAAACAGGTAGGCTTATCTCCTCAATTTTATATCTTCAAATGGTCTTGTATTGGCAAAAGAAGAATTGATCCCCCTCCAAATTTTCCCCATTGTCTCCTCATGAAAGCATATTAAATTAATCTAAAAATGGCATTTTATAAAATATATAAAACCTCAAATCCTACCCTTTAGTTATTAACATTATTTTTAAACTGAGATCAATCCAAGATTGCATTGTCTCTACAGATGATCATGACACATGTAATTATGCTCCGTGCCTTTCTAGGTTCCTCCCCTTTTAACTAGGACAGACCTCATACCAGATATTCAAATGAACAGTTTTGATTCTCATCTGGAAGTAGAGTATCCTTCTTCTTGAGACATTAATACTTAAGTTTGTAGGAGAAATTTTAATAGGGAAGCTTGGCCTTCCTTTCCACTCTGACTTTACATATCAATTCAGATGTATCTTGGGAAAAAATGAACATTTGCTGAATACTTATTGAGTACTAAGTATTATACTAACTTAATCCTTAGAACAACCATATAAAGAAGTATTATTCTCTTTTCCATTTTGCATATGAGAAAATAGAGACTCAGAGCACAAGAGTAACTTGCACAAGGTCCAACAACTGGTAATAAGTAGTGGAGATCATACTAAAGGACAAGTTGTTCTAAATATTTTCTACTGTACCAGATTGCCTTCTAGTAGGGTCTAGTTGGTTTGACCTCTCTAGGGTAGATTGAGTACATTTGCCAGGGAGGCTTCTCAAGAGGGCTTTCTTGGCTCCTGCCATAGTTCCAGTCATGCAGCACCCTGTTGATGTCCAAAGGCAATAGAAATTAAGGGGCCACAACTCATGTCCTCTTCCCTGCCTACTAGATGGAGTCTATTTTTCTCTCCTAGAACCATTTAACAGTCTTTCACTCTGTTGTTAATATAGATCAATTTACTAAATTACCACATTTTATAAATCAGTAGAAGAGCTACTAGGGCACCTGAAATGCCATCTCTACACAGGCAGGAGTGTCAACTAGCGGTTTCAGGTCAAGAATCCATACGTTTTCTGTTTTGCTTTGTTTTTTCCTGGGAGTCTGCCACTGTCTTCACCAGATAGCTAGCTTCCAGGATAACCGTGACATCAGAAGAACAACTTCACAATTTACCCTAGGTACCAATGATACCAGAAAAATTACATTCTTTCTTCTAAGACATACTAACAAAGGAACAGGAAGTTCAGAGAAATGAGGAAGAAAAAGTCCCAGTTCTGAAGCCAGAGCACGACAGAGTAACCCAGGAAAGGAAAACAGATATTGTAAGTAAAGAGCAAAAAACTCGTAAAAGCTAACTGGAGGCTACATGGAATGACCTGCAAGGGTCATATGGAGGCCCAGAAGAGATGAGGGCTGACAGACAAGTCCCTACCAAGCATTACTCCAGCTGGGAGCTGCATTGAGAGAGGCTGGAGGTAGGGGACACCAACTATAGGCATCTGCAGAAATGAGGGTAGTTCATCTGTTTTTCCCAAACTCATTCTCCCTATGGATTCAATCAAATGTGCCATTTTTATTGCTGGTTTTATTGTGGCAACTGGAAAGAATGAGGTATTGTCTAGTTGAGGGGAGTCCATTAAGGACCAATAATGAAGAGGATTAATTCATTGTCACCGTCCTAGGAGTATTTCCAGACAAAGGAAACACTATTATGAGGAAGATATAGCTCTGCCTTTCCCCATACCCTCCAACTCTGTAACCAGAGTTACTGGTTCAGGCTCTAAAAATGGTTCCCCTCTTCGATGCTTGCAGTCCACCAAGGTGTAATGATATAATAATACAGAGTGTTATAACTAAGGTAGCCCCGGGTGCAGGTTAGGTACTGCAAACACCAATTATCAATCCTGCATGTTAATCCCATCTCTACCAGAGCCAGCACATGAAGCCTTCAATAACAAATCCCTTCAAGATTGAGAGACCTCATGGTCACTGAGGTCCTTTTCAGCTAGCCATGAAAAAGCAGGAATTTCAAAGGGCTTCTCTGGCTTGATACAGAAGGAGCCATGTAGATGCAACTAAATGTTTTTGAGAGCAGCCTTCTTGGCCTAGGAGGAAAAAACAAAATCTCCCAACTTCATGCTTGAACAGGAAAAATACTCCCTATATGATATTCACTCTACCTTGGCTGTTCTAGAAGGCTAAATGAACTGTATGACATTTTCACATACCTCATTCCCATCCATACATTAATACCTACTGCTGAAGCTTTCAGACTTACTTTTTGCAAAGAGCTGAGAGATGGTTTTCCTGGTATCCTCTGAACCTTCATATTCCTTCTCTGCAAGCTGCTTGTTGGCCGTCTCTAGACGCTCTGTGGAATTAGGACACAATAAGCAGAGCCCTATACACAAACTTCCATGTTGTTGGCTCTCTCAGTGCTGATCTTGGGGAAAACAAGCCTGTTTCTTCTTGTTACACAGGGATGGGCAACACAAACATAAGTTTGCAAATGTGGGTCCCAAAACAACACTAGACCATGGCAGGGAAAAGGGAGGTGAATACTTAACATTTTCACTTCTTGCTGACAAAATCGAAGTGCAGAATTCTAAATTTCCACAAAGGAATTTATCCCTGAATATATATCTTTCATTCACCTTGCTAAAGAGCATCAAAGTTATTATAAGTCTTTAAAATCATGTAATGTCAAAGCTGGAAGGGGATCATAAGCAGCATCTAGTTAAATTCCCTCATTGTATATATAAGATGCCCTAAACTCAAAGATAGAAAATAACATCTCCAATGTCATCAGTTTTGAAGATGTTGAAGTGGTTATTTTTCACCATCTTCAATATTACATGTGAAGGTCAAAATACAAGGAGGGAGTCCTAGAAACAATAAAGGGTATCATTATTTCAAGGTTGCACACCCAAAAGACAGGCTTCTGAAAAAGCTATAAAGGAAGAGAGGCAGCACAGATTGTGGAAGTTGGCCAGGTAGGTCCAGGAGTCCCAGAATGGGTGCTGTCTGATTAACACATCAGCTCATCCCACTTTCATTAAGCAAGTTTGGAACCAAGTATTACTGTGGTCACCAAAACCTAGCCTGGTCTATGCCCTGCAATTTACTGATCATACTAGTGGGCTAGATGAAACTAAGCCTTAATGTATGCTCCTTAGCCCTTCCCTTCACAATCTTGGCCAGTATTTCAAAAGTTATTCCCTCACCTCTCAGATCTCTGTTGAAGTCATGCATCCTTCGAATCTCTCCCTCAAGCTTGTTTCTCATGGCTTTCTCCAGGGCCTCCCTTTTGGATGATGACTTCACAAGGTTCTCATATGCCTCTGAGACACGCTGGATTTCTGTCTCCACCTGAACAAAAAAAAAAAAAAAGGAAAGATAGTTGGATGGTTGGAGCTTGATGGGAAAGATAGTCTGAAAACATACATGCGAATCCTTAATGACAGCTTTTCCCAAGGCTTTTTCAGATGGCCAGGAGGCAAGCACAACACAGAGAGGAAAAGTTTCCCAGAAGGACGTAAAAATTAAACTTTAAGCTCAGTAATTAACTCATAGAGTCATGAAATTTCCTCAGGTTAAAAACAAATACAGTTTCTGCCTTCAGAGAAGATGACACAAAGGAATAAATTTCATAAATATAGTTATAAATGATTTTCATTTCTAATTAAGAATTTTCTTAGTTTTGAAAATAATAATGTATATAGTATGAAGATAATGTTATTCTAGGGTGTTCAAAGGGCTTTTACTTGTTTATTTCAATTTGCCTTGATATCTGCCTTCACGAGTATACCTCTCCCCATTTAAACAGAGAGAAGAGTTAAATTGTCTTTTCTAAGATGAAGTTAGTGGCAGAAGCAAACCATAAAAACTCTAAGATGCAGACTCATGCAGTATTTACTAAGGGCCGAATATTTACAAGAACTCTTTAAGGCACTGTGGGGTATGTAAATATGAGTGAGAACATTATCATTGCCCTCAAGGAGCTTTTGAGCTAATCAAGTAAAAGAATATGGGGAAAGAGACATTATTAAGAAACGTAAAAGTAGTACTAGAAAGTGCAGGGAGGAAGGGGTTACTCTGGTTTGGGGGTGAGGGGAGAGTAGGACAATTTCAGGGAGAAGATGGCATTTAGAGTCCTATCTTGATTTCAATGAGCAGAGGTGAGGGGAAGGATATTTTATTCTGAGTGAGTAAATGCACTCCCAGAATGACCAGTAGTCCCTTTTGGATGGACATTGTGGGGTACAGAAAGGGAAGCTGGTAAGATATGGCTGCAAAGATAGAATGGAGTCAGGTCATAAAAGGGCTTTAACATCAGGCATTTGGACTTTATCCCATAGTCAGTGGGAAACCAGTACAGATTTCTAAGTTGTGTTTTATGACAACCTTGCAAATCTTGTAAAATGGAAAAAACAACAACTCAAAACCTCAGAAGGTAAGAGTTTTGCCCCAAATCTGGAAGAAATAAAAAATTATACTCCAGAATATTTCTATAACCAGTATAGCTTCATTGCACTTATAATAACCACAGAGATATCTGTATATAATTTGTATAAGAAAAATAAACCCCATGGTCTATTAAGCAATTTTCAAATTAAATTTAATTCCTGCAACCATTCGGCGTTCCTTCTCAGTTTTCCACTATCCTCCTTAACAAAGCTCAGGGTAATTTATAGGGAGAAATATCAGGGTCCCAGTGGGAGCCTGGAGGAAAGGTGGGGTTACCATACAACTCAGATTCCACCTGCCCCAGCTCCAAAATTATGACTGATGCAAGACTGACTGCAAACAAATGAGGCTTACACCACAGAAAAGAGCAGACTTGAGAGTGTTTTTCTTTTTGCAGATGGCACCAAGATAGCAGCACAGAAGGGGAAAACTGGTGAATGGCATTCAGAGACATGATCTGCAAGGCCTGAGCCTGATAAAGCTTTTGAGTGAAATTCAAGTGCTGAGCTGAGAAAATAAACATTTCCATTTGAAAGAGCGGCTTGGTGTTGGTCTGTTCTGGGTAGCCTTTAGAGTACAAGCCTTTCCAGTCCCCCCACAGAATGCCACACCTGGAAGGCAGTCCTTCTCCT